GCAGATTGGCATTAGCACTTGAGAAGACAGCCGGGCAATGTGTGGCTGTGGTTGTTTTACTCACATCTCCTGATCCTTTTCTCTCTGTCTCCTGGAGAAATAGTCTTCTTCTGACTCCGCTTCTTCACAGATCTCTATTTTCTTTCTCTAACTAAACCACCTACCATAAGCCTTCAGAAGGTAAGAGCTAGTTCTCTTCCCCCACATTCTGCCCTGTGTAAGTTAGAGGGATGGTTCTGGTGTCCCATTGGCTCCTGACCTTCGCTTTTATGTCCTTGCAGTCCCAAGAATCCCAAACCAATTGGTTCTTCCACTCTCCAACACCATCTTGCTACCATGTGTGACCATCTCTTCTTTGAGGACTTTGGAATCCCTCAAATCAGCAGCCCGCCGTGGCCTGCAGCGCACAGGCCGCCTCTGTGAGCACCTCCATTGCGCAGGGAGCGGTGGAGCCCCTTGCTGCTCTAAGCTCCTGCCTCTGGCTCCTCTCTGCCCATTTGACAGAAGATACTGCGTGCCCTCCTGTGTGCCAGGCTCTTTGCTACACAGCGGGGTTCAAATGTTGAACCAGGCACATAAGGTCCCTACCTTCATTGAGCTTATACTCTCCCTAAAAATCCTCTCTTTACTATATTTCTCTCCCTAACTCTATAAACATGTTCAAGCACTTCCTGTCCTTAAAAATACTTCTGTCTTGAGAACATCCAATGGGGAAAAGACAATCTCTTGCATAAGTGGTGCTGGGAAAACTAGACAGCTACATGTAAAAGAATGCAATTAGAATATGTTCTCATACCTGTTGGTCCTCTAATGGACCGGAACCTGGTGGTCCGGAGTTGATGATAAGAAAGTAAGAGAGAGAAGGAAGCTGATATCCCCTGGTTTATGCGGAAAGCAATAGAGTCCTATTCTTAGGGCTGGCGCTGCTGCGCGGAGGCACCGGGCGCCCTCTCGAGTGGGTGAAGGCACAGTGCGCCTTCTCGAGAGGGCCTTAGAAGCCCCGGCAAGAAAGTGAGCTCAGCGGGCCTCGGTGCTCCAAGGAATTAGCCAGAAATAGAGAGAGATAGAGAGAGAGAAAGACAGGAAGAATAGAAAGAAAGACAGAAAGAAACACACAGGGACCCAAGCTCTGGTGGAGCAAAGGTGTTTAAATCAACGTGGCGTGGGCATATATACTGTCTTACAAGGTGGTTATTCTCAGCAAAGATAAAGATGAAAATTACAGACTTACAAAACATAAGATGATCCCTATCAGAGAGTTGCAAACAATCACCTTTTCATAAGAAGGAAGAGGGTACTTATCACTGTAATGAGAAATGCCTGGATTCCTCAGCCCCTGGAAAGGTGTGCCTCTCCTCTTAGTTCCTGAATACTCAGGAATTAATAAGGGCCAGAGGGTTCCTGACAGGTCCAAACAGCACACAGGAAGCCTCTTGTTAAATGCTTCCTGACACATACCATATATAAAAATAAACTCAAAATGGATTAAAGATCTAAATGTAAGCCCTGAAATCATACAACTCCTCAAAGAGAATATAAAGCAAGACAATCTTTGACATAAATCATAGGAAAACATTTTTTTGAATCTGTCTCCTAAGGCAAAGGAAACAGAAGCAAAAATAAACAAATGGGACAACATCAGACTAAAATGCTTTTAACAGTGAAGGAAACCATCATCAAAACAAAAAGGCAATCTTCTGAATGTGAGAAAATAGGTGCAAATCATATATCTGATAAGGGGTTAACATCCAAAATATATAAAGAGCTCAAACAACTCAAACAAATAACCATACAACCTGATTTTAAAATGGGCAGAGGATCTGAGTAGACCTTTTTCCAAAGAAGATACGCAGATGGCCAGGAGGCACGTGAAAAGATGCTCACCATCAGCAGGCAGCAGGGAAATGCAGATCAAAGCCTCCCTGAGAAGCGTCTCACACCTCTCAGCGTGGCCGAGTTGACAAGGATGTGGAGGAAAGGGAACTTTGTGCACTATTGGTGAGGATATAGATCGGTGCCGCCACTATGGAGAACAGCATGGAGGTTCCTCAAAAAACTAAAATAGAGCTTCCACATGACCCTGCAGTTCTTCTCCTGGGTAAACATCCAAAGAAAATGAAAACACTAACTTGAAAAGTACCTGCACCCCAATATTCTGTGTACAGTAGCCAAAATATGGAATTGACCTAAGTGTCCATCAACAAACGAATGGCTAAGAAGGCCTGGTATGTGTGTGTACACACAATATGGGCTATTACTCAGCCATTAAAAAAGAGTGACATTTTGCCATTTGTAACAACATGGATAGACCTGGAGAATAAGCTTAGTGAAGTAAGTCAGAGAAAGACAAATACTGTATGTTATTATTTGTATGTGGAATCCAAAAACTAAAACAAATGAATGAATATAACAAAACAGATGCAGACTCACAGACATAGATAACAAGCTAGTGGTTCCCAGTGGGGAGAGGGACAGAGGGAGGGGCATGGTGGGGGGATTAAGAGGAACAGACTGTCTAGAAAAATTAACAATAAGGATATATTGTACAGCACAGTGAAATACAGCTGTTATTTTGTAATAACATTAAATGGAGTATAATTTGTAAAAATTTTCAATCACTATGTTGTACCCTTGAAACCTAATTTAACCTTTAAATCAACTATGCATGCATGCTTCCCTGGTGCCTCAGACCATAAAGAATCCACCTGCAATGCAGGAGACCATGGTTTGATCCCTGGGTTGGGAAGATCCCCTGGAGGAGGGCATGGCAACCTACGCCAGTATTCTTGCCTGGAGAATCCCATGGACAGAGGAGCATGGCAGGCCACAGTCTGTGGGGTCGCAAAGAGTCAGACACGACTGAGTGACTAAGTACAGCACATGTACGCATGCTAAGTTGCTTCAGTCGTGTCTGACTCTTTGCGACTTCATAGACCATAGCCCGCCACACTCGTCTGTCCATGGGATTCTCCAGGCAAGAATGCTGGAGTGGGTTGCCATGCCCTCCTCCAGGGGATCTCCTGCATCTCTTCAGTCTATTGCATTAGCAGGCAGATTCTTTACTACTAGCGCCGTGTGGGAAGCCCTAAATCAACTATACCTAGTTTAAAACAGTTTTTTAAAGAATTAAAAGGAAAACACCTTCCCTTGTCCTGCACCCTTTAGCCAACACCTCCCCCCTCTGGTCTTTGCCACTTACCTTGGAGCAGCCCTCTGCCCCAGCAGCCGGGCCTCTATGGCAGCCTCCGTGCTGAGGCTACTGGCCAGAAGTCTGAGGGTCCTCCTCGGGGAGCGCATGTGACACGGCTCCTGCCTCACCCCTCCACTTCCCTCCCAGCCTCCTCTCTTCCTCCTCGTCCACCTGAACCTCCTGTGTCTCTCCTGTCAGCAGTCTTGGTCCTCTCCTCGTCGCCCTCTGGCCCCTCCACACGCTCTTCCTTGGGTAGTCTGGCCACGGCCGTGTCTCTGCTGCCACGTCCATACCAGAGGCTCCCAGAGCTGCTCGGACGCCTGCAGGCCCCTCTCTTGCCAGGTGGGCCCCCTCCTCAACACTGGAAGCCGGGGTCTTTCCTAGGCAGGCCTCTCCTCCCCATGGTCTTCACACTCAGCTGGTCCCCGGTCCTCGATACACTTCCTGAGCACCTCGTTCTCTCCTCATTTCTTGTCTCATAGTCAAAGGTTTTCTTGTGTCTCTTCTAGACTATTACATTAGCCTCTCTTTTTTATCTTTAACTTTTATTTGTATAAAGTATACAGAGATTCAAAGATAGATAAACTATCTCTGCCCTTGAAAAGTGGTCGGTCCTGGCTAGTCACGGGCTTCTGAACAGACACATCTCCTGGCAACAGGAAGACGCACCACTAGAAGCCTGTTTGAGAGGAGGAGCGGATCGAGGTCTGTCTGTGGCTGACTGAGCTCCTCCTGACACCTTGAATGCCTCTTTGCCTATGTGTTTCTGTCCTATACTCTCCAGCACATTTATAGATTTCCAAGACATCCTGCACACTTTGGTGGGCATCTTTCCAGGAGTCTGACCTTTATTCAGTTAAACTGTAGCAGACAGAGGGAGATCTGCGCAAAAAAAGACCCCACATAATATACAGGCAGACACTACCTCTCTGGTGCCCGAGCATCCCCTGGGTTGAATGAGGCCTAACTCAGATACCTCTGATTCACTCGTGAACTTAGCTAAGCCCACGAAAAGCCTGGAGCCTATGGTTTCTTTCTTGATTCTTTATTTAGTCAGTATTCTATCACTTTATCAACATGATCAAGAAATGCAGATCCAAGAAATAGGATCAAAACAGCAGCTCAGGTATTTCTACTGTTAAACGAGAGTTAGCGCTAGATATTTCCTCTTGTCATCATCTATGTGCTCTTGCCCCCTATGTCCTGCACCCTGGCCTGCAGCAGGGCTCAGTCTGCATCTACAGCCTCTCCCTGAGACAAGAGAGCGGCATCTTTCTGCAGCATCCAGGGCAGGGGAGAGCCTACAGACCTGTCCACGCACCCCACTGACTTCACGCCCCTAGGTTGTCTTCCTGTCTGGGAATTTGGTTCACCTGGATGCCAGGTGCTCTGCCCTGGGTAAATGTCCCCCAGCAGGTGTGAGCTGTGTGCTCACACTTCAGCACCCTGTTCTCGGAAACCTTGTGGAGGTGCCTGTGATGCTGGGAACCCCAGGCCCTCCTCTCAGTTCTAAGTTGGCTTACATTTCTGCATCCTGGCTTTCCAGGCTCTCAGGACTGCTGGGCCGTCTGTGTTGGTAATTTTTTGATGCATGTCCCCAAGTGTTGGCAGAGCTCCTCTTGTTATCCCTCGGCTGTGGGTTGGCCTCCACCACGCCTGACCCCGCTATCATCCCTCCATCCCTCGGACACCCCCGTGGACTGAGGTGCTTTCTGGCCATCTGCACCCTGTGAAGGAGCCGCTCCAGGAGGCTGGGCCAGCATCTCACCTTCATCGTCCCCTGCACCCTGGTGCCCTCCCGTGTCTGGGCATGTCGGCCCGCGATGCACATCTGCTAAGTGCATGGCCCGGGCCGTGGTCTTCACCGGGGCGCCTGGCCAGGCCGTGCTCTCATCTGCTTCTTTGTCTTTCAGGAGCCCAGCCGCTGGGGCTGCCATATTACACTGACCCCGGAGGACCAGGGATGAATCCTGCTGGGAACCCCGTGGCGATGGCTTTCCAGGTCCAGCCCAACTCGTCCCAGGGAAGCACGGCCTACCCACCGCCCCCTTCCTACTGCAACACGCCCCCACCCCCATACGAGCAGGTGGTGAAGACCAAGTAGCCGGGAGCTGCCCGCACCTGCCTGCATGGCGCGGCCGGGAGGCAGGGCGAGGCTGCCGCTCGCTCTCCCTGCTCCATCACTGCTCACTTCCAGGAAAGGTCTTATGAGCCACTGAGGGCAAGTTCCTTTTTGATACCTTCAAAGCACAGCTTCCTCTCCAGTTTTCCTTGGAGGACCAATATTTCAATTCCCCCCATGTCTCCTCTGTCTGTTCTGTTTCCAACATAATCTGCGCTCTGGCTGAGTGGACAGTCCTGAGGGTTGACCCCTAAGCTGGCTGCCCAGGCCCACAGCGGGGAGACCCCAGTGGGAGGCCAGGCGGTGCGGGTGAGTGCGTGGGGACATGAGGGGGGCCTGTGGCCCAGGCACCCCGCACACGGCAGGCTGCCGGCTGAAACCAGGCCCGCAGAGCCAGCAGTCTCCTCGTCCAAAAATGACGGCGGGGCGCAGCCTCTGAGCCCCCTCTTCTCCTTCCCTTCCTGAAGACCAGAGCGCTGCCCTTGGTACCGCCAGGGCTGGGAGAGCACTGGGTGTACTGCACCTCAGGGAGATGGGGCTCTCGAATCAGGCCAAGTTGATGTCTGTAGTTCCCCGAAAATCACTAAGGGAAGGTATTTAAATTCATGGGAAGTTGCCTCCTGCGTCAAACTGGACATTGCATTTCATGAGCTCTTGGCCTGACCTGGGGGAAAATGGAGCTGTGCATCTGGGGAAGGTGGTGTGGAGTCAGGCCCTGAGGTCAGTCTTTCCTGGGTGTCAGCAGTTCTCCGGCCTGTGATCACAGCCAGGCATCTCTGCACCCTCCGCTGAGGCAGGCCTGGCAGTGCGTTGTGATGGACACTTTCAAAGCAGAGAGGTACATCCGGCTGGGAAGCCACGTCGGCCACTGGAGAGAAGCGTCCCAGCAGAGCTGAGCCACTGGCTTGAGCCTGGGTGGGCAAGCCTGGGCCCTGGCTGACTGATCTCAGCAGGTGTGTGCCAGGCTCTGCAGAGGAGGAGCTTGCTAAGAAAAAGACAGGAACAGAAAACCCCGGGACTGCAAGTAGATCTCTTCCAAAAGGACCAAATAGATGTCACTGACGAGTTAATCAATATTAGAATAAAGATGTGGTTGGAAATGCAAACCTGGCTCAGAAACCTCTCTGGCCCTCGAGTCACAGGTAGTCCTGGATTGTTGGGGGACTTGGGTTCTGCTCCTCTGCGTAGGTTACACCCACCATCGTGTACTCAAACCCAGGCTGAGACCTGATGGGTCGTGTATAGGAAGGGCAAGGCATCGTAGCGCAGACATGTATGTGTAGTGATGGGGCGGGGGTGGGGTGGGGTGCTTATTTTTGAAATGAACTAATCGGAGCCTCTTGAGAGGTTGTCAGTCATTGAGCCTGAGCATCGGGACATCTCACTCGATGCTGAGAGTTACATCCCCACTCCTTGTATGCATGTCCCTGCTCTGCTGGAATAGGAGTGAGGAGTCAGATGAGAATCTGGGAGTCTCCCCTGGGGCTCCATGCAGCACTCTTGGAGCCAGATGAGCACCTTGGAAATGGTCTGAACACAGATGCTGCTGTCAGTGCTTTAGACCCCCGAGCGTGACCTCTGAACTCCTGTCCCCAACTTCAGTCCCTCCCGACACTCAAGTCCTTGATTTGAATGAGACAACAAAGCACAACATTTGCTGTTTACAACCCAGGATAGCTGCACGGGTCCAGAAGCTTCTCCTCCTCCAGGCCCCTCGTTTGGCATTTTCAGCTCCGGTTTCTCCTTTGCAGTTCTGATGAGGAAGCGCCCCAAGTTTGAGCTGGTGCAGCCACGTAGGTACTCACATGTCCACGATGAAATTCTGTTTTTTGGGGTTTTTTTAATAGCAAATGATCTTAAGAGACCGGATGATTTAGGTAGCACCGAACTATTTTATATTCATGCTTGTGTGAGATAAACGTTGTTTTCCCTTGAACCTTGGTGAGAACCCACTCAGTGGTCAGTGTGTGTGGAAATTCCTCTTACAGTGATATTTCCTGCTCACCGTTTCCCCATGCTGTCGGTGGACAGTGCCCACTGCTTGGAGCCAGTCCAAGCCAACTTCTGGTGTGTGAAGTCCCATAGAGTCCGTGGCTAGGAGTGAACTGGGAGTAGGTCTGTGCATGCTTTTCCTCTTGTAACACTTGACTCATTTGTCTTTTTTGTTCTTTTGATAGGGTCATGTTTCCTATGTATGCACAATAAAAATAAATTTGGGCATGTGCTTTGACTGTTTTGCTGGGGAGTAGCAAAGAGGGTAGAGATGAAGTTTCTGAAGGACAGACAGCAGGCTCTGAGGTTAGCTGGGTAGGGGTGGAATAGGTGGGGACGCACCCAGTCTCAGGAGAACTGGAAATGATATGCTTTCTGAGAATATAAGGAACTTTTGTTTCACCAACACATTAAAAAAATCTAGCTAAGGAAAAAATATCTGAAGTAAGTAGGATGACAGAATCCTTAATTACTAAACTCATAGCTAGTACCCCAATATTATTGGGGGTGTGTGTGTGCTCTGTATAGGTAGGGGGACCTTGATTTTTAAATCCAACTCTTTGGTCAGAAACTGTATTTCTCTCACAGATCTATAGCTGCTACAGTTAGGCTATATAGATGAATTACTAACTGAGATAATATTTATCAAGAAGTGTTTCATAATTTACTGTCTTAAAACAGGACAGGAAATCAGGTAGAAGATTTTCAGAGCTAATTCACACATCTCACTGGTCATGCCCCGGGTCATAAACTTACCCCCAATGAAATGGGAGCAGGGTCATTTACACATCAAAGGTCATGACTAAAAGTGGCCAACAGAGTACTCATTCTTATCTGTCCCCACCCCCAAATTTCACTGAACTCCAAAAGTCCATAATGTTAATAGTTCTCCAGGCAAAAAATGTACAAGATCAGAAATTGTAATTTCTGAAATAGAAGGTGGTGCGTGGGACTGACAAAGAAACCCACATCTGAGAAGGTGGGGGCTGAAAATGTGTGGAGAATTTCAGTGACTCAGAGAATCCAAAACCTCAGTTTTTTCAGCTGCAAAATGGGGTCATACTCAGTTCAGTTCAGTTTCTCAATCGTGTCCGACTCTTTGCGACCCCGTGAATTGCAGCACGCCAGGCCTCCCTGTCCATCACCAACTCCTGGAGTCCACCCAAACCCATGTCCATTGAGTCGGTGATGCCATCCAACCATCTCATCCTCTGTCATCCCCTTCTCCTCCTGCCCTCAATCTTTCCCAGCATCAGGGTCTTTTCCAATGAGTCAGCTCTTTGCATCAGGTGGCCAAAGGATTGGAGTTTCAGCTTCAGCATCAGCCCTTCCAGTGAACACCTGGACTGATCTCCTTTAGGATGGACTGGTTGGATCTCCTTGCAGTCCAAGGGTCATACTACTTTATGCTTGTACCAGGCACTTTATGGTCACTCAACCAATGTTAGAAATCCTCTATTCTCCTTCACTGCACATCTCCCTGAGCAAGAGAAACTGAAGTGGAGAGAGAGAGAATGTGTTCCCAGCTAGTCCTTTCCCCATCAGATGAGCTCCGTAGTGTGACAGGAGCAAATTCCCTTTGAGTACATCCAAGATACGAAGGTGGAAGTTGACGGGGCCCCATTCACTGCCACTGCCCCTATGTCACCTTACCATCCTGAAATGTTGGTGTGGGCTGCTCAGCCATGGGTGTACAGCCCACCAGAGCTGGGAAGGAGAAATCTCAGGCAACTTTTTTTCCCTACCATTTATATGTAGAATGAGATCTGTGAGTGCCCCAGATCCGGACATGAATGACAAGCAGTATTTTGTCCATCATATTACTGGGGTGTACCTTTTGCCATTCACTGACCACTCCCACCCCCCCAGCTCTTTATTATAATGCCCCTGCCTCACCCGCTGTGCCAAAGTGTCCGGGGCGGATCCTGCTCAAAGCCTTTCTCAAAATGGTGTGATGGGAGTGGGTATGATTATCAACACAACCCCGCTCCCTTAAAGCTGGGTCCTGTTGGATCTCGAGTTCACAAAGGACTGGCTTTCCTTCTGTGAGGAAAGGCTCCTGATCTTGGGATCAGGAATAGTGAGTGAGGGTAGAAGAGAGCCACCCTTTCAGCTGGAACAGGCTGCATGGGAGCGCTGCATTTTCTTCCTCTCTGGACTTGAAACCACAAACAGCCTTGAGGTCCTGAAGCCCCTAAGTCATATTTGCCACAGACCTGGTGCTCATTGTACAGGAATTGGAGGTGGATACCTGTACCTTTGAAAAGTGCCTGGGCATAAATGATCCCTCATGTTTTTAAGGAAGAAAGAAATTTTTCATCTTGCTTTTTTTTTTTTTTTTTAGTTCTCTTTTTTTTTCCATTTATTTTTATTAGTTGGAGGCTAATTACTTTACATCATTACAGTAGTTTTTGTTATACATTGAAATGAATTAGCCATGGATTTACATGTATTCCCCATCCCAGTCCCCCCTCCCACCTCCCTCTCCACCCGATCCCTCTGGGTCTTCCCAGTGCACCAGGCCCGAGCACTTGTCTCATGCACCCAACCTGGGCTGGTGATCTGTTTCACCCTAGATAATATAAAGTGTACAAGGAGACATGCTTTTAGATGTATGTTCTAGGCCAGGACTGTCCATTAAAAATATATCAGCTAAGTATACTAAGTTTTCATTAATTACATTAAAATGATGAATTTTATTTTAGTATCTAATCCAATGTATCAAAATATTATTTCAACATGTAGTAATATAAAATAATAAGAAATGTTACATTCTTTTTCCATACTGTCTTCCAAATCCAGTGTGGATTTTATATTCACCGGCACAGTGAACTTTGAGCAGCTGCTTCCCAAGTGCACAGTAACTCCACAGCCAGTGGCTGCTTTATGGGACAGTGTGGGGTGAGTTAGTAAGAAAATCCGCCCCCCGCCCTGTGTTGTGGCAGTCACTCGCAACAAAATCCAGTGAGGTTAAAAGGCAATTATAAAAA